TTAAACAAATGTTCATAATTAATTTAAGTTAAAAGGGGCATGGACATTTCTCTTTTTTGTATCGAAAAAATGTCAAACCGTGAGACTAAAGTATCGAACCGAACCATGAATTTCCTGTTTTGTTGCAGCCCTGATTCCTAAATATCCCACAAAGCTCAATGGAAATTGTGAGAAAAYGAAACAAAAACAGAGCAAAGCTGTTTTTGAGCTTTTCCTGTGAAAACTGTTCAAACACCAACAGTTGTGTGTCTGTGAGGACACACAAACAAAAAGTATAATGTACAGAAATGACAGTTCTTCACAGCAAGAATCAGAGTTTTACAGCGAGCACATCTGATCCTAACGGACCAGAACCAAAGCCTGGACTCTGTGGGAACCAGTCTGAAGTGAGCCACGGGTTCAGTTCCACAGGCACGGCCCGGGACAGAGGCATGGCTCTCGGACCCCCACGGGCCTGATCAGCAGGTCTTTGACCACCTCCACCGTGCCAAACAAAGGGTACAGTGTCTCTGAGAAGTTCTCGTTGTAGGTGAACACATGTGAGCGCTTCTCCACGTCGTAGAAGGACAGCTGGCCCTGCTCGTAGTCCAGGTAGACCCCCACCTTCCTGGGCACCAGCTGTTGTGGTAAAGGAGTGGTGGGCACCGTCAGGGCCTTCAGGTCTGAGCCTCTCTCCAGACGGAYGGTCAGGTAGCCCGTGTCTGTGTTCAGGGAGCGGAAACCCTGCCTGACGGCTGAGGCTTTAGCCACGCCCAGGCGCCAGTCCCGCTCGCCCACCTCCACCTCCCAGTAGTGGCGTCCACTGGTGTAGCCCCGCTGGCCCACGGCACACCACCAGCCGTCGAAGCGCTGCAGGCCCACGGGGACKTCGCGGCGCTCCAGGCCACACCTCATGCCTTTCTCATCGCTGGAAATGAGCAGGCCCGGGTGGGCGGAGTCCGAGTCCAGAGTCACGTCCTCTGTCGAGCCAAGAGAGGAGTTACAGCTGTGAATATTAACATCATTCAGGAAGTACGACCAAGAACGTGTTTGTACCTGCTGCATCACAGATCCAGTTCCACACTGCAACAGAAACAGGCACTGAGCTTTGTTTCAACACAACAAATAAAACTGAGACTTTTACAAACTGTTCAACAACCAGGTTTCATCATGACCACAAACACAACACAACTCACAGGCATTACCAGGACAGGATCACTTATTAACTGGACTTTAYGAGAAGATAATAATCAGATCCTTATTGGGAAAATAAAGTTCACTCATTTCACTTCTGTGGTTTTCTGCATCAAARCAAACATCAAACAGATCTGAGGTCAGATTTATAAAGAACTCTGTTGAATTCATACTAAAAGTGAACAAACAGTCAAAAAGATAAAAACTGTGTACGCCAAAAAATATTCAGATTTATAAAACAGTGTTAAAGTAATGTTCCTTTATAGATCCCAGCTGACCCTCAGAGTTTACCTCCTCAGGTTCTACCCTCCACACGCACACACTCAACCACACTGGAAAAAACTAACTTTTGATTTAATTATTCTTTTAAATTAAAAAAAAAACATCAAAATCTCTAAACTACTAGAATTTACTAAATAAAACAATACACATTATATTATATATCAATATTACTGCAC